CACACTGGGTAGAATGCTATGGCACCATCAGAGCTCACAGCAACCTCAAACTCTTGGACATACGTGATCCCCTTGCCTCATCCTCCAGAGTAGCTGGGATTACAGGTGCCCACTGCAACATCCAGGTAATTTTTCTTTTTTTTTAGTAGAGATGGGATCTCCTTCTTGCTCAGGTTGGTCTACATCTCCAGAGCTCAAGCAATCCCCCTTCCTTGGCCTCCCACAGTGCTAGGATTACAGGAGGGAGCCCCTGTGCCTAGCCGTTTTGGACTGAAATTTAAGAGCATTTTCAGAAAACACAAAACCATTGAAAATCAGACAATTATATTCAAAATGCTGGTGGGTTTTTTTGTTTCTAATAGTAGTGTGCCTTAAGTTTCCTTTTCTAAACTTATGTTTAGACCCTTCTGCCAACTGCTTCCTCACAGGATGTAATAATTAAGTGGTCCTTTCTCTGGATGTCTGAGCAATTTTGGCAGACTGAGAAAGTGTGATGTAGCCCACCAGCTGAGACGTAACCCTGCACATGCTTGTCACGTGAGATGGATTTTGCAGAAGTCTGGCCCTTCCCTGACTTGGGTGACTCCTTCCCAAGCCCCTTTACCACTTCACTGTATTGCCGCCTTCTCCGGAAAGCTCCTGCTGGTGTCTCCTCCCCCAAGGATGTGTTGTAGGATGGGGTCCCCAAGATGCGGGCTCTGAGCTGGAGGAGTGTTATTGGGGAGCATTCTTGGAAAGACACCTCCAAAGCAGTGAGGAAACCCGGGAGGGCAGTGTAGAGTGTGGCCGCTCCAAGTGGGTGCATGAACGTAGGGGAGACAGCTTCCCTCAGTAGTGGGTGGAGCGACACGGCTGTCCTCTGTCACCAGGCAGCGTGTTAGTCACTGCAAGGTGCTGTGCTGAGACTGAGGGGGATCTTGGTAACACCCCCTGGTGTTAGCGGCCTCCATGTGGAGGTTTTTCCTAGTTCTTGGTGATCGTCAGGAAAAGAATTTCAAGACATACCATGTAAGCCAACCAAGTGACCCTTTTTTTTTTTTTTTAAATTGAAAGCAAAAGTACAGTCTCAAGAGAGAGAAGGCAGACTCGAAAAGGGCAGCTGCCCTGCGAGGAAGTGGTTTCAGGACTGGTCAGTCTTGCTAATTGAGGGGTGGGAATATTCAAGGCTAGGGGGTTGGCTTTTCCCTAAGAATTTGGGGAGTGATTCCTAGAATTGGGTTCCCTCCCATTTTCATACTGTATCTGGTTGTCTCGGAGTTGTTATGATGATTTCAAAGGTGGAGAAATTTTAAAACCATAGTGTAAATGATGCTGTAATTAGACAAAGTTCTTGGAAGGTGGCAGAGACAGCCGACAAGTCAGATGAGCTGCTGGTTCTCGCCCGTGGTCCTCAGCTCCTGTGGTCGGCTTCTGTCCGAGGGTATTGACTTTAACATCTGTACCCAACCTTTAAGGCCCTCCGTGCACCCTCAGCCCTGCGCCCTCATTTCCTATGCTAATCATGGTGCCCACAGCAACTGGCCTGGGGAAAGTCCTCAGGGTCCCAGGCTTGTCCCTTAAGTACACAGAGTACCCTGGAACAGTGTATTCTCATGTCAGTCTGAGAGTAGGCTCCAGCATCTGAGAAAAACAGGGTACACAGTGGGCATCTGACAAATGTTGAATTTTGTGAAGGAAAGATGTTAATTGTTTCTCCCGGCTATTGCAGTGGGCATAGAATTTAATGTGTCATGCTGTCCTCTGCAGTCCCCTTTGGAGAAGCTATGCGGCCTGGGCTGTGGAGTGAAAACCCCAGGAGGCACATTTTGGACAAAGTGGAAAGCCTTGGAGTGTGCCAGATGAGCCCATCATCAACAGGAGCGGAGGAGCCCATGTTGAGAACGACACGCTCTCCGGGAACCCCGGGTGGTAATGGCCAAATGACCTTGGGCCCCTCTGTGTTCCCAGGCGTGGCTGAGGAGCTGGCACTCGGCAGCTTTTGTTGAACTGCTGATGCTGCCAGCAGTTCCCAGAAGTCAGCCGGCCGCTGACTCACCACCGGCGTCAGGTAGAGGGGACAGTGGAAAGGCAGCAACATCAACAGGAAATAAAACATTTTTATTGAATATCCATGTAATAGGTTAAGTCATTTTTAACAACAATCAGAAAACTACTGTGGTATTCACTACACAAAGTGAAACAAAATTTAAACCACCTCATCAAAAATGAAGGTAAAATACAGCTAAAGTAGTCGGCTCGCGGGCCACGAGCCGTATGGCAGAAGAAAACACCCCAACATTTCTACAAGATACAGAGAAAACCCACACACAGAGACACTCAAGCAGGCAGTAATATACACAAAGGCAACTAGGATCTTTCTAGAGCGTCAGATTCTAATACTTTACACAGCTTTGTCAGAAAGTTACATGTGGCTTATCTGAAGATGATCCTTGGTCATGAAGCAGGTTTGATCACTGATTTCATGAAAGATGGCATAGTACCAACTAAGTCTATGGCGACAGTCCCACGCCTGGCAGTGTTGTGAGAGGATCATGAGCGGTGCTTCCAGTGTGAGGAGTAATGGAGACTGGGCAGTTTGAACCTGCTTGTTTTAAAGTGTTGTTACATTGTGAACAACTTAAAGCTGATGACTGTGAAAATAAATGTCAGTGTCTGGTATTTAAGGAATTTTTAAAAGTCAGTCAACTCCCTCTCTTTGGTAAGATTTGGTCCTTTAAATTGGAAAGAGTCTCCTTTGAGTTTTCTGTGCAAACTGATGTTTAATCTCACCTTCTGGCCTATGTTTCTTTAAGAAACATGGCCGGTCACCAGAAGAAGGAGACACTGCTTTCCATTCGTCCTTTGTGCCTGTCCCAGTTCTAAAGAGTTTTGCTATGACTGGGCTGAAAGGTTGAAAGGGCTGAGGAATGAATCATGACAGGAGTTACAGTCTTGCTAGGAAACAACCCACCCCACGTTCGAAGTCCCCCATCAGCCCATTTCGAATTCTCTCGAGTTTTTGCAGAAAACTCAGCATAACGTCCTCAAGTCTGAACTCGAGGCTGGGGCTTAGTTTTCCTCCATTTTATTTTGGTGCCTGTGAAGATGAACTTCTCACTTCAGAGCATCACTACTGTCTATGGCCTGGAAATTAAAACAGGTCATAGAAGGGAGTGGGGAAAAAAAGCCTCGGTGCAGCGTGAGCGCATCGGCTGCCCTTCCACAAAGAGGTTGCTACCATCGTGGGGAAAAATATGGAATATTGCACAGTGCTTGACAGAATGCTGTGTGTTCCACCCCATGCGAGGGATCTTTCTCGCCCTCTGCATAGCTTTTCAGTTCTGAATTGGTCCTTTGTAAAGAGAACTGTTTGTGCTACACACACCCTGGGCAGTGCAGTAGAAGGGAATGGCAGTATAGTCACAATATCACTACGGACACACTGAGTGCGATCCACGGGGGGGACTATGTGGCTAAGCACACACGGCAGTCACAGTGTTACACAGAGCAGTCCGTGGAGACGCCTACGGAATGGCCAGTAGCTTTGTAATAGTGCCATTTACTACGTAATAACATTGAAAACATTTAAAAACTCCTCCTACATCAAGCGTCTAGTGTACACAAGAGGTTGCTTCAGTTTGCTAGAACTTGTTCTTGGTTTTTTTTTTTCACCTTTTTTTAAAGGACAAATTAAAACTTATTTACGTAAAAAGAGCATATAAAAAGATAACTAGCTGTCTGTTTTGGCTTAATTGAAGTGCATTCAGAACTATGGCTAATTGTTTTTTTTTTTTTTTTTATCTTTTGATGGGATTACAATACTGTCTGTTTACCACAAAATTACTTTGTGTAATAAGCACAGATCTCTATGTTAAAAATATTCTGCATTCCTTCTAATCTGGTTTTGTATAATAAAATACTTTGTTACAAAGTCTAATGTGCAAACCTTTTGGAATGACTATAGTTGTGAAATCTCGGACGGAATTCACAGGATGCACATTTCGTACAAAGGTGATCACGGAGAGCTACTTTTTCTCTTTTTAAATAGTCAGGCAATATTTCAGAAATGTTGACTTCTCTCCTCACCGTCTTCCCCCCTGCCCCATCCCCAAACAAATACGTGCACACACACACACACTCACTCACATACAACCCCCCCCACAAACACGGTTACATGTACACATGGGCTACCGTGTCGTAACTCTATATGCAGTAATGTGAAATCACAGACCCTTGTTCAGTTGCTTCTCGAATGTAAGAGTGGAGCCGTGATTTTAGCTTTGTAGATATGTACAGACAGGTGCTATTCTGGTTTGTGGCTTTGCTTCCTTGAGGTGAGCCTGGGGACTGCTGCTCAGATCATGCTATTTTTGTCTATGAAGGAATTCTACAAAATAGGAGTCACCCACCAAATATGTGGTGTAAGCGCATCTTGGTACTCAAATGATTCAATAGAAAGCTCAGGTTTAAGTTGTCCTTTAAGATGTCAGTTAACTGTACTAGTGCCTTACAAGTTGATGTTTTTGCTGGAATGCAGACGATACTATATTTACCATATAATATATTATCAGCTCTCCTATATCTCAGTCAATTTACATAGTTTAAAATAGAACATCTTATTAAAAACATCTAGATATACACAGATTATGAAACACAACATACAAATACACAAACTAGAAATAAATCTTTAGCATACTGATATATACAACGGTGTGATACAATAAATAATTTCAGTCATGCTCTATCTACACATCATATTGCTTAAAAGAAGAGTAGATTTGGAGGGCAGTGGTATGATGAAGGGCTTAGGGGCTCTCTACATTTAAATCTGTGCAAATTAAAACAGGATTTGAAGTACCACTGAATTGTGTGACGAATGCATGGCTGGAAGAATGAAAGGACCCATATTACTGAGGTATTTACAGATCTGGCTAAAGAGCACTATGTGGGCAGACGCAGAAAGGCTTCTTTCCTTTACTTCTTGGTGGCCAGCATGGCATCGACCTCCTCCTCTACCTGGAGGGTGTGCCACTGGGCGATGGGTCGCCTGGGGTTGGCCAGCATGTCCGACCAGTGTCGCAGCTCCGCGCCGGTGCTGTTGTAGCCCACAAAGACTTTGCCGATGGCATCGTTCTTGCCAATCTTGTCATAGTCCAACACAGTTACCACCACTTGCACTTTCTGAAAGAGGACACAGAATAAATATTAATCACCTAGCTCTAGAGATAAAGCCCTACTACAAAGCTTTTGAGATCTAAGGAGTTGGAAATAAGAAGAATCAATCTCCAACCACCAGACGGAGGAAGAAAATGACTTGAATATAAAAGCTTGAGTCAAATCGTTATGTTTTCACTACTTTGTCATCCCTGGTTGCCATCATCATGTTAATACTGCAAGGTTAATTTTTGTATTGTATATTTTGCATGAAGCGTCAGGTACCGTTGCCGTTATACAGATAAGGATCCTTGAAGCTCAGAGAAGTTGTGTAAGGTACGACGTTTGGTTTCCAAAGCTTGTGCTATGAACCACCATGTCACACTGCCAGTGTCAAGTTTATTTAATCTTAAAATCCATTTGTTTTGGTTGTCTCATCGGTGGAAGTTCTGGCATTGGTGCTTAGGCCATTCTTTTGTTGATTGCAATTCCCAAGGCAACCGTGTGTAATGATCCCATTTCAGGGAGTGCCAACATTTTACAAAAAATTAGTACAGAATTGCAACTGAGCCCATGATGATGGTGGGCAGAAAATGTGACAATATAGTGAAAGTCTTTGAATAGTGGTAATAAAGACATGTCTTTCTATACATTCTCTCAACAAACATCTTATTGGCTGACTACTCTGGACCTGGCAAAGACACCAAATGGAAATAACCTTTCAGGCCACACAGGACTTACTTCTGTGATTACATCAGATTTTGAAGGTTTGTTTAATAACATCCTTTTTATGAACCAAATGAGCTGATGAAGTCAAGTCCATCATACCATTATGGTATGAAAGACACATACATTTAAAAACCCATTTCAGTTGTGCTGTAAGTAATTTGCTTAGTCAGAATGTGTGACGACTTCGATCTAGCAACTGAGTGCAAAAATAAGAGTTCAGAATACAGTAAAATATATGACATTTGACAGCCAAAGGTAGCGGCAAATGTAATTATGAAAGTTAGGACGAACTGAATGTCCAGCTGAGTTATAGACCTTCACTGGACTTCACACTCTGAAGACCGAATTACCGTATGAGTATAGCGAGAGATGTCATTGATACACAGCTTCAGAGCAGAACAAATGATCATTTCTGAAAGTAGAATTTAGAATGTAAGATACAACACACTGGAAAAAAGGAGACAATCTTTCCTTGTGCAGCCTTCGGGTGGTTTCCATTGTGAAGGGATGGGATTTGGAACCAAGAATGAGGTTGCCTTGATCCTTAGAACTCAACCCATAAAAACTCATGAGGATGCAGGGAACAGGGTGAGGGATGTTATGTACAGAGGGAGTGGGTTTTTAGGAGTTCAGAGTGAGTTTTGATTATTCCACTTAGGAATGCATTCAAAACACAATATCCTTATGAAGGCCTTGGATCAATTTTCCCACTGTATAGATAGTTTATTTCTACATTGGGTGGGGGGGGGAGAGAAAGGTAACATTTTCATATGCTTTTAGAAATCAGCATAGTTTGCTTCTTTCATAAGATGATTCCATAGGGACAGAGAAAGATTGAAGGACAGGCAGATTATCTTATAACCCTAGGGTAAGGGAGATAGATAAAACACTCATTTACTTACTAGGGAAATGCAAAGACTAGAAAAGCAACCTCCTAAAACAAAAAAAGAACAAACTGACTCAAGAAGCGGAGACAGTGGGACAGTCAGAGGCAGGTGCTCATTAGTTTGCGTCTAATGTTCTCTACGGTGGGTTTAGTTTCTCTGTCCTGACAAAATGTCTTCTCCTCTAAAATGCTGCCCCCGAGACCCCATATCTGTTTCATTTTTAATGTGGGTCACTTTATCATATTTCCATTTTCTGCAACGTGTAGTTGAGAAAGGATATTTATTTTAAAGGCATGGCCTCATAGCTCAAAGGAGAAGGTTTCCAATAGGGTTTTTAATTTCACCGCCCTTCTCTGTATTGTCTTGTGGAATCACAAAATAAAATGCCAGGAGGTGTTAGTTTCCATTGGAATAGAGTCTGAACAAATATTGCAAAATAAATTGTTGGAGAAAATTGTTATCCTGGGGAGGTAATTGGTGTGCCGTGCCGTCAGAGGGCTTAGGTGTGCTGCAACAAATTTTAAAAATCGTTAATTAAATTATTTTCCAAAAAAGTTCGAAGCACAGTGAGTATATTCTTTTTTAAAACTTCTTTTGATTAACATAATTTAAGTGTGCTGAAGAATTTAACTGTAAGTTCAAGTGTGCCGTGAGATAAAAAAGGTCGAAGAACACTGGGGTTGTGAGTGGGTCCAAAGCTGTGGGTTCATTAGTTTAGGCTGGAGAGCAAGTTACTGGGAACAAGAAAGTGGCATCTTCTGCCATGTCACTTATGTCACTGTTGAAGGTAAATAGGTATGTACATTTCTTCCTCTGAAACTATATATGAGAAAGATTATATCACATCCATGAACCGACATGAGGATGGGGGGTTACTGGTCAGCGTTAGTCAACAGCTCTATGCCAAATGGTAGGTACTAGCCATTTCTAGCAACCTCAAGTCAAATTTAAATAAACCAATATTAAATAATGTTCCTTGGTCACAGTAGTGGCTGAGGCGCTCACTAGCCACCCGTGGCTACTATGTTGGACAGCATGGATGATAAAACATTTCCATCATTGCATAGTTCTGTTGGACATCACTGATTTATACATTGATTTAATCTATTTGGTGGATCCATTTTCTAATAAAATGTTAATTTGAAAACTAGGGGACACTGGCATTGTGAATGATGATAATGATAGGAGCCCTCTACTGAGTGTTTCTATGTGTGAGGCGTGGTTCCAAGCCTCCTGTATGTTTTGATACGGATTCTGTTATCCACGTCAGATTATTTTATATGTGGTGAAATTCTAAGCCCTAGTTTCTTTATATATAAAATTGGAATGAAGTGGTACCTCTCTGATGAGGTTCTTCTAAGGAGTAAATGAAATTACATGTGTAAAGTACTTAACTTGGGTTTAGGCACATGACAGATAATAATGGGAACTATTATATATTAGCTTTCTTCAGGTCATAAAGGTGTGCTTCATTATAAGCTACTGTCTTCTAAAAACAGATTAAAAGTAAAAGTAGCTATAGTCCCAGCCACTCAGGAGGCTGAGGCAAGGGAATCGCCTAAGCCCAGGGTTGCTGTGAGTTGGGACACCACGGTACTCTACCGAGGGCAATAAAGTGAAACTCTGCCTCTAAAAAAAAGAAAGAAAAAAGTAAATGATCAACATTTGCTGGCTTTGTTATTCTGCGTCTTTGAAGGTTCCATATTATAGGGTTGATGTCCACTTTTCATTTCTCCTTCAAGTTATGGGCAAACTTTTACATCACTGAGAATATAGACGCGTAACAATTATTTAATAAAATGCAAAACATAGCATTGCTTTATGCACTTTGACTTTCCCATACCCATTAATGGTTAGCGAAAAATGGCCCATAATTATTGGAGATGAATTTTGGATTCTGATAGTCTAACTATGGAAATGGGGTGAAAAAATTTAAATATTTTTTTAAAATCCCAAAATAATAATGTCACATGCTGTTATTGAGGCTACATATAGTATCTCATTTTGGACATATTGACCACAAGGTCTTTGTTTTTGAGACGGATTCTCACTTTGTCTCCCAGAGTGCTAGGATTACAGGCAGTGAGCCACCGTGCCCGGCCTTCACCACAAGGGTTTAATAGAATCCTTTTAATAGAATCCTTCCGATCATAATTATTGTCTAGCAAATTAAGGCTCTACGTTTAGAAAAATACCTGTCCATCCCAAGTCAAACAGAGGAATCTGAATTTGAACAATTAAAAATACAACTTAGCCTCATTTTTCTGTTGTTAATCATATTTTGATAAAGATTCAACATGCTGCATGTTTACCGTCCACCAAAAATATTTCTGTTATCTCTGTTCCTCACTCCAAAGATCTGATGAGGGGAATTATTTATTCTGGCCTGGAAGGAAATAGTGGAAGCCCATTTCCTCTTGGCCTTTTGACCTCTCGGATGCGCTTTTTGAGTTAGCAGAGTTGTTCTGTTGATTTTCTTTTTTCTGGTTTATTTCTGCTCAGCAGCCAGCCAGCTTTTTGGCTGATGACTCAGCACCCTGTATATTGTATCCTTCTTGATGTAAATGGGCACACAAATAAGAATGGTAGTTCTGGTGAAGGCACGTGCACTGACAAGGCACAAGGTACAAAGTCGGTGTGCATAATCTGTGTGGTCTGAGGGATACAACTGAACGGGAAGGCGAAATTACATCTGACGTTACCTGGATCTGCTCAAAGGGTACTTCAAAGCTGAAGGACTCGTTGTAGTAGGGGTTCAGCGTGTTCTTCTTAATGGTTGTCTTTTTCTTCTTCAGCCTCTTACCATTCTGCATCAGATGAATCTTCACATAAGGATCTGAAAAACAGAAACCAAAGCTTTAGAAGATCACAGACACATACTTTAGTCCACTATTTAGCTTATAAAAGGACCAGATATTTCCAACAGATGGATAATTATAAGACAGGCATTTAGTATTTAAAAAAACCTCAAGCAGGGTTTTTATTGAAAGATTTTCAGTAACCTCTTGGCATGGCTGCTTTGGGGGCCATATTTCAATATTTACAGCTAGATTTAGGAGATGAGAGTAAAGAGTGTGCTGGTAAACCAATTCTTTGGGGAAAAAAAAAGTCTTGACATGCAGCGTTTGCCAATATCTGTGATATAAATACTCTATCCCAGGCAGGTTTCAAGTCATGAAGAGTTCGATAACTAGCTGGTGAAATCCCTGAGAACTTAACTGTTTGCTCTTGCCGGCTGGTGAAGGGCTAGCCTACAACATGTCACTGCACGGTAACCAACTCTATCCACAGACGACCAAGGAGTCATCTCCTTAATTCATTTATTCACCTACCCCACCAGCTTTAGCTGAGGGCCTGTGATGGGACAGGCACTGTCAGGCTGGGGGTGTAGTGGTGAGCACAACAGACCATCCCTGTCCGTACGATGGAATGTCAGAATTACGAGGGAAATAGACCGTAAACTTGTAAAGAAACAAAGCACACATGACATTACACATGACAAGAGTGCTCTGGAAGAGAACAGTAGAATGGCAATGTCACTGAGAAAACCAGGGCTGGTACACTGAGTGGAAGGGTGGTGAGGCCGGAGTGGCTCTGTGGGACTGCTAAGGTCAGGCCTCTCTGGGGGGGAAGCTGAGATGTGAACACTCACAGGGCGAGAAGGTGAGAGGAGGCTCTGTGTGCATGTGCGTGTGTGAGAGAGAAAGAGAGGGATGCCTCCACATTCCCAGGTAGAGAAGAATTTCAAGTGTTCAAGGAAAAGGACACGCAGAATAATGCGCACAAAGATTCCCTGAGCAGGTTCCCTAAAGCCTCATTAGGCAAAGTTAAAGTACTAAGTCATTGCGAGGGTGAGACAGTTCCCACTTACAGCTCCGGTCACTAACAGGTAAGTGATGTACCTTTAGGTCACTAGAAACCAATGCCCAGGACTGAAAGGAAAATCTCTCTACTGTCTCCTCAAACATTTTTCCATTTGAGATGTATACTGCACTCATTATATTTAATAGGAAAAAGTCAGAAAACAATGATAGACAAAAAGGAGAAAAAAATTCAAATCACTATTTTACTGCCCCCAAATAGCCATGGCTAAGCATTCCAAATTTTCTTCCTTCTCTTTCAAAACATGTAGAGCTGAGAGAAACTTAGAGATAATCTAGTCCAATGCCCCCATGTTTTTAGAAGAGAAAACTGTAAATGAAAACAAGGTGGTTTTTATCTTTCTCTCCCTATCCCTGGCGGAAAATAACTCCTGAGAGACAGACTCCCGTCTGTCATACCCACTATTTGAATTTTCTAAAACAGTGCCTGGTACATGTTCAGTTTCTGTGGAATGAATAAGCGGCACTTATTTAGGGCATCATAATCTGAGTCTCCTGACTCTCAGTGCTGTTTTCTTACTACCAAGACAAAGCCCGTGTTACTTAGATATGTGTCGTTTTGAGATTTTAAAAAATTATTTAATAGGCTTGGCACCTGTGGCTCAAGCAGCTAAGGTGCCAGCCACATACACCTAAGGTGGCGAGTTCGAATCCAGCCCAGGCCCACCAAACAACAATGA